ATAATAAATATATATATAAGATGACCATTGTGATTGAATCTATTGTTTTGGACGAACAACATGCATTCAAATGAAGCCATATATTGCAGACAATAATCATCGTTCAATATCAATTGGCGTGAAATAAAAGAATGATAAATGAATGTGAAATGAAATTTTTTTTTTTTTTTTTTGATCAAAATGTGTCTCGGGTATTGATTAATTTTGTTCTCTTGTATTCATTTCTTTTTTTTTGCAAAGTTATTCATACTTACACACACACACACACACACACGCACATGATAATGATAATACATTCCTTGAATCATCGTCATCAATGAATTATTATTATTGATGGTCAATGTGACCACACACACACACACACACCACACGACAATGTTTATGTTAGCAAAAAAAAAATGTAACGAGATTGAAAATAAAAAAAAATCAGAACAATGATCATTGGATCATTGTTATATGAATTTTTAGCTCTCGTGCGTGTTTATATATGTGTGTCTGTGTGTGAATAATCATTGTTTTTTTGTTGTTGTTGTTGTTGTTAAAATAATGACCTTGGACTTTGTCGAAATCGATCTAATCGTATTTAAAGCCGATCATTGTCATCATCATTTTCATCATCATCATCAAAATCGACAATGAAAATCAAATTATGAGAAAAAAGCAACAAAAAAAACTTGTTCAAATTGCTAAAATTATAATTTGAAAAAAATAAAAGAAAAGATTTTTTCCATAGATTCTTTTAGAAACAAATTGAATGAATGAATCCAAATACAGTTTGTCAATGATTGACGATATTTTATTTTATTTTTTTGCCATACACAATGCATTGATTTGGTATAAATCACCAGTCGAGAACTAACTGTAATTTCATTTTACTGGAATGATGATGGCCATATAAGAGACAAAAAAAAAAAATGATGATGAAAAAAATATATCATCTCAAATGAATGAATTCAATTTTTTTTTTCTTCATGTTCCAACATTGACTTTAGTTTTGTGATTCCTACGTTTGTGATTGATATATTTCAAGGATATTTACATGAATGAATGAATGAATGAATGAAACAAAAGACAGCCAAAAAAAAAATTGAAACAATCACCAATTCTATTTATATATATATATATATTCAATTTGTTGTCGTTATTTTTGACGATGTGGATGATGATGATAATTATGAAATTTCTTTTTCGTTTGTTGAATGAATAAAATTCATCGTAATAATAAGCTTGTTGTTGTTGTTGTTTCATTTTTTGCTCAATCAATTTGTTGAAAAATATTTTTTTTTTCATAAGAAGAACATGGAGAAAAAAAAGATGATTAAGTTGTTTCGATTTTCGTGTTGTGAAACTTTTTTTGTTTTGTTTTGTTTTGTTTGAATATCAGGTATGTGTGTGTGTGTGGAATGAAAATCAAATCAATTGACAAATCATTTTTCATCGATTTGTAAATGAAATTGGAATGATAAACAAACAAACATGATAAGCTCGTATAATTAGTTTCCGGTGGTGATTAACAACAACAACAACAAAAAATTGTAGCCTTTTTTGCTTTTTAAAAATTAGCTTTTGTTTTGTTTCAGGGGATTTTTCAACAAGAAAAACAAAAACACCAACAATTGTAATTTTGTTCCTATGTTGTTGTTGTTGTTGTTTTTACATGATCATTATCATCATGTTTTCATCATTATCATGATCATCAATCCGGATCAATTTTCTATCAATCAATGTGATCAATATTATTATTATATAATTAATATAATTACAATTTATATAACGGACTAAAAAAAATGCCTGTATAAAGATGTTCATAGCATATATATAAGATTAATTGTTCATCGAGATCAAAAAAAAAAAAAAAAATGAAAAAAATCCAATTGAAAGCTATAATTGTAATCGTCACGTACTTTAGAGTTGAAAAAAATAGAGGTATATACATAATATATAATATAATAATTAGTGAGTCTATAAGTCGATGAAATAGAAAATGTTGTCGTAATAATAATTGACTACAAGATCACTAATAGATCATTTCTGTTTGATTGTTGTTGGATCCATGAAACCAACAAAAAAAACAGATCGGTTCTACAAGCGGAACAGCAAGAAGAAAGAAAAAAAAATTGAATTTTTTTTTTTTTTAAATTTGGTCACATCATATTTGAATGTGAACGTGTTTGCTTTTGTTTATATGTTTATAAAATGATATATATACACATGAACATGCATCAGAAACGCAGATTGTATTATTGATTTAACTAAATAACCATCGACATTGATTGAAATATTTGTTGTTGTTGTTTTTGCACTATTGTTTCATTTATGAATCAATGAACTCATATGGATCAATTGCCGGAAAACGGCAATAAATAAATAAATCGAAATGAAACCAAACCGAATAAACATCGGAAAAAAAACGAAAATCATTCATCAACATCAATCAATCAATAATTCGGATATCTGGATATTTTTTTTTTAATCCATACACAGGTTGGTTTTGAATGAATGAATAATATTTTTTTTTTGTTTTGTTTTGTTTATTATTTGTCTATAATATCAACCATAATATTACCATACGGCAAAAATTATTATATCGTGGAATACTACACTCCTATCTCAGTATCAGTATATATATCATTATTATTGATGATGATTCAAAACTGAGAAATATATGTATGAATAAAATAAATGAAAATGATGATGATGATGAAATGATGAATATTATCAACAATGAAAACGAAAAAACGAAAAAATAAAGATGACGGAAAAAAAATCTAATCGATGAGCAACTATTCCAATTGGATCAATTTAAAAAAAAAAAATGAAATGAAATGAAAATTGCCATTATGTCTGTATTCATCCATCCATCAATCCATCTGTCTGTCTGTATGACCACGACAAACACACCAGTGTCTGTTTGTATCAGTGATCTGTTTGTCTCTCACACACACACAATTCATTTATAATATCAATCAATCAAATTTCGATTTGATTTGTTTTTTTTTTTTTTTTTAATTTGATTTTATCCATTTTATTCATAATGATGATCTACATTGAATGTTTTTTTTTCTTAGTTATCAATTCATACAATTGACAATGTTCATCATCATCATCATCATATAGTGATTTTCATTTACATCCTGTATCTGTTTTGTTATCTTTTTTTTTTCCTTTCATTTTTGTTTGATGATGATTACTATGAGTTTATGTGCTGTTGTTGTTGTTTCTGGAACATCATTTTGAACATTTTCGTTGTCATCATAATCATCATCATCATCATCGTGTTTCATTCTTTGCTTTCGTGGCCAAATTATCATCATCAGCATAACATTAGACAGGTTTTTTTTACGTTTTTTTTTTTTTTTGTTTTGTTTTTCCAACGTTTCTATTGCACGAGTTCTAATTGCTTCGTTTTTTTTTCTTTCTTTTTATTCATTTAGATTTTTTTTCTGCAAAAAAAAAATAAATTTCGATTTCTCGGACAGCTTCAATGATCAAATAGCTGAACAACAACAACAACAACAACAAAAAAATGAAGCAGAAAAAATAAAACAAGACAAAAATTTTTTCAAGTCATCCTGGTCGTTTAGTTAAAACAAAAAAAATAAATTTCGTTCATATCATTCAACAGTTGAATCCTGTTCGATTCAATATAGCGGTCAATAAGTAAAAGAAAATGAAAAACTGGAACGCTTCTATTGTTCTTTGTAGATGTATGTTGCGTGTTTGCATGCATGCATGTGTGTGTGTGTGTGTGTGTGTGTGTGTTCCAATAGAGTGATGAAAACGATGACAACCACCGCCGACGCCACCACCACCACCACCACCACCAGCAAACACTTGATTTTACAATTTGTAGTTAGCTATAGCTCAAATTACGTAGTTTTTCCATTACGGATTTAAAATTGGATGAAAGAAAATCCCGTTTTTTTTTCTTTGTCTTTCAACACGAGCTTTGTTGCTGTTCGAAGCAATGATGATGATGATAATGTTGTTGTTGTTGTTGTCGATGTTGATGAGATTCACATCAACATTCTGTATAGAACATTCAATTTTTATCATTAGGCCAAAGTTGAAAATTAAAATTAAAATGAAAAAAAAATGCTTCCATCATGTGTGTGTCAGTGTGTCTGTGTGTGTGTGTGTAAATTGAATACTCCCAAAAAACTACATTCCATTCCATAATCGTATTTCTCTTCACTTTCTCTCTTTTTTTTCTCTTTACAAAATGTCTCTTTCTCAGACATTTTTTTTTGTTTCGTCCAATTCCTTAAACTAAACTGAAAAAAATGGTCTGTTCCAACAATCCAAAATTTTCATTTTATCATCTTTTTTTTTTTTTTCACATATTTTGGACATTTAAGATGAACACACACACACCTGTCGTTTACATCTTCTTAGGTGTCTGAATGTATTATATACTGACACACACACACACACACACATTTGTAGAGAGCAATAGTATCCCTCTAATTTATTTTCATTATATGTATTAAATTTTTTCTTCTTGTCTTCGTGAATCGCACACACACACACACACTAACATGATGAATGAACAATTTTGATATAACTAACCTTTCAATGGACAAAATTTGATTCATTTATATTTTTGTTGTCCATTCAATTGGATCGTAATAATTTTTTTGTTGTTGTTGTTGTTGTTGTTTTTGTTTTTGTTTTTCTAAATTCAATTTTTGTCTGTTTGGTTAATTGAAAAATCAATTCAATAATCAGAATCAAATTGATGATCAAAATTGAATCGGCTTGTGTGTGTGTGTGTGTGTGTGCGTTTGTAGTGTGTGTAATGATGATGACCTAGTGATATTTTTATTTGTTTTCAATGTAAAAATTGATTCTGTGATCGATACGTAATGATTGGTTTTTTTGATTTTGAATTTAATTTTTCAACCCCTCAATTTAGATAATTTTATAAAGTGAAAGAGAAAAACTGGAAGTAAGAAAGCAAAAAAAAAAAATGAAAAGGTTTTGTACATCATCATCATCATCAAAAATCTTTGCAGTACAACATTCATCATTGTTGTCTACATTGATGATTGTTTTGTATTGTTTAACGGTCACACAAATTTTTGTACGTGGTCAATTTATACATATTTTTGAAGTGCAAGATGAAAATCGTGCACCAAAGTCAGATCTATTTGATCCATCACAATATAAATATGTTTCACCATCACAATTACAAAAACAACAGGAACAGAATAAATTGCTACAATTACAGAATCAAGCGGCTAATACTAGGCCAAGCTCATCATCATCATCATCATCATTATCATCACGATCATCACCATCATTTTTGAACGTCGTTTCTGATTCATCATCATTGCCACAATCACCAATAATATCGCGTACATCTATTGAACCAATTATAAATGCACCACAGGTACCGGAAATACGACGAACAACACCAACATCATTACAACAAAGTTCTGTTCAATATGTTGATGATAATTTAAATAATAATCATAGCCATACTCATAATCATAATCATCATCATCATCATCATCAATATCAACCACAACAACAACAACAACAACATCATCAAAGTAATCGTATACGTATTGGATCAATACCACGATCGAATCAAAATGCCTATTCAGCTGCAAATCAAAATATTAGCATTAATAATAATAATAATCATCATCAATCAATAATAACCAATAGTTCTTTGTTGCCAAATATTACTTATATGCGATCAATTAGTCGATTATTACAGCCAAATATTTCGGCTACAGTATTGCCACCACTAACAACAACAACAACAACAACTGTATCACAATTACCAATTACTACCGGTAATCAAATACCGGAACAATATGATTCGGAAATTCGTAAACAGCTTCGTATGCAACAACAACAACAACAACAACAACAGCAACAGCAACATTCAGAGAATCGATATAGCCGTACACAACCATTACGAGTATCAGCACAGAATCAACGACAATATGTGGTTAGTATTATTTTGATCAATTGTTTAACATTCATCAACGATGGCGATGACAATCGGATACAGAATGGAAAACACACATCGACCTGTGAAGCTCGTGACACACACACACTCACATTCACACATTGAAATTTTTATTGCTCGCTCCCACGCTCACAAACATTGATCATCATTCATTTGATGATTTAAAATGTCGTTGTTCTATTTGGAATTCATTTTGTTTTTGTTTATGGACATTATTTGGAAAAAAATGATGATGATGATGATGACATATTATCATCAATCTCAATCTGTTAGATGTATATAGTTGAAAATTTGATGATATGTATAATGTGGTTGTTGTTAACGATTCCCATGAAAATTTTTTTTTTTGTCGACTATCGGTCGAATAATCATGACAAGTTCAATTTTTTTTTTGATTTTGATTTTGATTTAAATTAAATGAGGTTAACATCACCAGGTGATAAAATCAAAAATAAATTTTTTCTCCGTTTTTCACTTTCGACAACACCGATTTCCATTTGGGAATACATATCTTTAGATGATGATGATGGCCACCATTTAGTTCATTATCGAACTAAATATTAGTTTAAAATTAGTATCATGAAAATCTGATATGATGAGTTTTTTTTGTTAATAATAATTATTTTTTTTTGTTGTTTCTTTTCATTTAATTTTCTTCATTCATTCAATCATTCAGGTGCGTGTGCCTGCTCCATTTTCGGTGAACATTTCCAATCTACAGCCATCACCAAATTTATTACCACAACAACAATTACCACCAAATATAAATCAATTACCACAACCAACACAGAATCAATATACGCCCATACAGATTATTGTACCGCCAAATGGTCAGAATTCAAGTCAATCGGCATTACGATTGTCCACTTTGAATTCCGTTCTAATTGCTGGTCCACAAGATAATAGAGGTATACCATCGAGCTTGTTGAATTCGTTTTTACAACGAACTCAGAATCAATTACAATCACAATCAGCACAATTGCAGCCACAGCAACAACCGATTCCAACACGACCACAACAACAATCGCATCATCAAATAAGTGAGTTTATGGAATTGTATAATAGAATTTTCAAATAATGAATTTTCACTTACAGTTAATCAACCACAGCCACCGTATGCAGCTAATTTGCCACAAGTATTCGCCTCATCTCAACAAACTCAAACCCCATCACAATCGTCGATTGCATCAGGTCATCAATCATCGAATTCATTACAACAGCCAAATATCATTGCAACAAATTTAAATAGTGCTCCAACTGGAAGATCGGTTAACGGAGTTTCCAATAATTCACTTTCATCATTGTTTAATCCACCAATAACCAACAAAGAAAGTTTGACCGATGAAGATATTAAATTGATAGAAGAACATAATCGCAAAGTAAGGCTTTTCTTACAACAAAGACAAACAGAATTACAAGCACAACAAGAACGATTGCGTCAACAAAAATTAGCCGAAGAAGCTGCGACTATGAAGGCTCAACAGGAAGCAGCTGCTCGAGCCGCTGTCGAACAAGAACGCATTCGAAGAATGAAAGCTGAACAAGAAGCTGCAGCCCGAGCAGCAGCTGAAACGGAACGAATTCGAAGATTGAAAGCAGAACAAGAAGCAGTAGCTCGTGCAGCTGCTGAAACGGAACGTATTCGAAGATTGAAAGCAGAACAAGAAGCAGCAGCTCGTGCAGCTGCTGAACAAGAACAGATCCGACGATTAAAAGCTGAACAGGAAGCTGCTGCTCGAGCAGCAGCAGAGCAAGAACAATTACGGAAACTTCGCGAACAACAAGAAGCTGCTGCTAGAGCTGCTGCAGAACAGGAAAGAATCGCTCGACTTCGTGCTGAACAGGAAAGAATTCAAAGAATTCGAGCAGAACAAGAAGCAGCAGCTCGAGCAGCTGCAGAGCAAGAACGAATTCGACGACTAAAAGCCGAACAGGAAACGGCTGCTCGTGCAGCAGCAGAACAGGAACGAATTCGAAGATTAAAAGCAGAACAGGAAGCTGTGGCAAGAATCGCTGCTGAACAAGAAAAAATTCGCCGATTAAAGGCCGAACAAGAAGCTCTTGAACATCAAAGATTGCTAAAACTTCGTGAAGAACAAGAGATGGCAGCACGAGCTGCTGCTGAGCATGAACGATTGAAAAGAATTCGTGAAGAACAAGAACGTTATCAAAAATTGAAAGAACAAGAATCGGAACATGAACGACAACGACAATTGCGTGCTCAACATGAAGCAGCGATTCGGATGGCTGAGGCTGAACGTTCTTCAAGATTGCAAAGAATTCAAAATGCACAGGAATTGGCTGCTTTGCGATACCAGAATGCACAATTACTTGGAACTTCGAATATAACTTCAAATAATCTATCCTATCAGCCGGAACCAAGTTTAGCAATCGATGAAGCTTTACTGAGCAATAATAGACAATCAACTGTTTCACGATCTCAAGTTGATAATGCAGGCCTTGTTGACGCAGCTCGTATTCGAGCCGAAAAGGAGGCATTGGCCGAACAAGAACGTTTGTTACGATTTCAGGCCAGTCAACAAGCGTTAGCACAACAACAAGCAGCCGAACAGAATCGTTTACGAAGACTGCGTGAAGAGGAATTGCTACAAGCAGAAGAAGAACGATTAGCACGTGAAGCACAAGAACAACAAATTCTTCGTGCACGTAACGAACAAAGTCGATTGATTAATGCCGCTAGAGAGGCAGCAATTCGTGATCCGGCTACAATGTCTTATACACCTTACACTGAAGATTTGCATAAATATCAAACAGCCAATGTTTCAACTCCACAACAATATGGTAGCCTTAATAATGTTCGATCACCTGAGCCAGTTGTCACTCGACAGACATCATCACCACAAACGAATTCGATCAATATCCGTAGTATCAGCGCAGATTACACTGATAGACAACCACGTAAGTTTATTGGAAAATTTATCATTTACTAACAATTTTTTTTCATGATTAGATCCCAATCAAATTGATTCTTCTTCATTATCATCAACATCGAAAAATGAATCGCATTTTAAACCGGCCAAAATAAGTCTACAAGAACTACCACCAGATTTAGATAGAGATGGTATTCCAGGTGTTGCTGGTCGAGATTATCCAACATTGACTGAAATTCCAAAAACATCATTTTCATGTGCACGACAACCATTGAATGGTTATTATGCCGATACAGGTATAGTTTGTGAAACATTTCATGTATATATTCAATTTAAAGTTACATATATTTAAAAATTTACAGAAACTGCTTGTCAAGTTGTACACATGTGTCAAATGGGTGGTGTACAGGATTCATTTATTTGTCCAAATGGTACAATTTGGAATCAGGAAAAATTTGCATGTCAATGGTGGTATGAGGTAATGTTGAAATTTGACAAAAAGAAATCAAATCTTATTTTGGATTGATAATCAGAATGAAACGATGTAATAATTTTTTGTTTTCTATTCTTATGACACAGGTGAATTGTGCAACAGCACCATCATTTTATGCTCTTAATAATAATCTTTATAAAGGAAAATTTGATGGAAAAAATGAGCAGAGCTCATTAGATTCTCCATCTGTTTCATCATCATCATCATCATCATCGTCATCATCACCTACGTCGTCATTTTCTCGACAGCTTTAAAATACCGATTATTGGTCATATATAATCTCATTACATCAATAATTATGCTCTTTTTTTGTGACATCAAAAATCATTTTTCGGATTTTTTTTTCTATTTCCAAATTGATCAATCAATCACCAAACAGAATGGTGAATTCAACACGAAATTTTCTTTTGCTTATGGAATATCGATGATGATTTTGATTATTTTTTTTTCTCAATAATATGGATTTTTATATTTATCAATCATTGTCATCAATCAATCAATCTATTTAATGAATATGAATTTCTTGCCATAATTTTGAATTTTTTTTTTCAAATTACAAACCATTGAATAAAAACAAATAATAATTTGTATAAAAATTGAATGAAAAGTTTTATTTACAGGGTTTTTTTTTATTGTTAAAATAAACAAAAACAACAACAACAACAATAGCAATAACAATGAAAAATTGAGAATTGATTTATCAAAAAAAAAAAAAAAAAAAAATCCTAAATGATTATCAATCATATATCAATGTATCAATATTTTCAGTATTATTATCATGATCATTACATTCATATTCGGTGGTATATGTTGAACATGATGATTTACATACTATTGAACAACAGAATTGAAATACACATTCACATTTATATATTTTCAATCGTGTTTTTTTCCTATAACCAAAATTACAACAAATTTTATCACACGATTCAATTGGTGGCCATTGTTGATGATTATAATTTTTTCCATCTATATTGAGATCATTATCATTATCATCATCATCATCAGTGGTGGTGGTGGTGGTGGTGGTAAAATTTTCAGCCATACATATTATTGGACGATTCGTAAGTCGTTTTTCTTTGGTCAATATTCGATTATTATTCATCAATAATGATCGTTTCATTATTTGACAATGATTAATTGATGGTTTAATATAGATTAGATCACGTTTACTTGCTTTACTATTCTTAATATCATTATTATTATTATTATTCAAACGATTCATATTTGGTTGATTCAATTCAAATAATGTTATATTATGGAATGCTTTTTGTAGCTGTTTTAATTGATTCGATTTTATTGTTGATGATTTTTTTCGTATTTGTTTTTCATATCTTTGTTTAAATGATTTATTTAGCCACGAATATGAGACCATTTTTGCTTTTATATAACGATTATATAATAATTGTGTTGCTTGACGAAATCCACGTATAGTATGCCAACATGTACGTAATGTACATGAACCACTAATACCATGACATTGGCAACGAAATATTAGACCATCACGAATTATCTTAAATAATAAACAAATAATAATAAAAATATGGAAATTTACAATTTTTTTCAATCGATACAATCTTACCTTACGACCTACATTGTTATTATGTAAATTTATCAATGAATATGGTGTAATTGATTGATGTTCAGATGAATCGAGAAAAATTCTTGCTGTTTCCATACCAAATTGTATATTATGTGAACAACCATTCCATTTCCATTCTTGATTTAATAAAATTAAATTATCCGATGATTGTATTGAATTATCTTCATTAATTGATGATGATGATGATGATGTTGTAGTTGTAAAAAATGATGATAACGATGATGAAGAATAATCCATAATATCAAACATATCAATTTGGTGGTTATAATCTTTTTTTGTTGATGATCTACATGAACAATATGGAAAATTACTACGGGTACATGCTTCGCTTAGCGTATAGACAACAGCAGCGGCAAATAATGCATGTGCAAATGATGCTTCTTTTGTACCTTTTGTAATTTTTATTTTTTTTTGTTGATATAATTTCATTATAAATAAATAAAGTAATTATTTTTGTCAGGTTTACATACCTTTGACATCGATATCGGTTATATTAACATATAAACGATTCAATGAATTCTGTATCCACGATGAACAATTCCATGATGAATGTTGTAATTGTATTCGATTACTAAATAATTGTTGACATTCTGAAAGAGCAATTTGTATACCTTTCCTAATTACGGACAATATTTCTGGACTTTTTTGACAAATTTTCAATTGTTGTCTATTTAAATTTGGTATTCGTTGACAGATCATATTCTGACATAAACAATTGGGTAAATTCAATGATATTGAACTGTGTTGTTGTTGTTGTCGTTGTTGTTGTTGTTGTTGTTGTTGTGTGGGTGTGAATTGAATTCAAACAAAAAAAAAGAGTTGAAATTTATTTAAAATTTTTGAATCAAATAAAACTCACATGATCAAACAAAGTAATAATATTGAATTAAAATTTTTAACTTTGATACGAATGGTAAACATAATGTTGAAAATGTTTCCAAATCCAAATCAATTTGATTTGTATATTATACACCATTTAAATCTGAAATTTTTTTTTCACCCTTTTTCTTCTGTCTGGATAAATATTTATATTGGAAATTTATTCAGTCACTCTTGTGATGATGATGATGATGATGATTATACGGTATCGGAAGTTGTATATGTGTGTGTAGATAATGCTAGAATTTAGTAAAATGAATAAATTATATCAAATGAATGAATGAATGAATGAAAAAAAATATGATGACATTATGATGATGATGATGATTCAATGAATAATAAATTAAAAATAGGCACGTTGAAAAAAAAATCAGTGAATGAATATTCAATGTTCACTATGATGATGATGATGATGATGGCAACGATATAAACAATCCAAGAAAAAGAATAAACGAATCATTCATTCATCATAATTGACATAGCCGGCTAAAATTAGTTTCAAACTTGTACGAGAGTAGAAAAAAAACGTGCCTTGAATATTGTATATTGAATGATGAAGAATATTTTTTTTTTTTTTCTTCAACGGAAAAAAAACACAATGAAAGCAAATGTCAGCACCATTGAATGGGCGTCATCGGGCAAACAAAGAAAAAAAAAATGAAAATGACACACACACACACACACATGCAACATGATGACGATGATTATGGCTAACCATAACTACAGGTGAAAAAAAAAACCGATCGATTCTATGGGCCATCACAACATTAAAAACTAATCGATCACTTACCTATTGATAATGAAAAAGAAAAATTAATTTTTTTTTTGTTTTGCTTTGAAAAATGATAACAACGTGATGATGACGTTCATTATTCATAATTATTGATTAATAATAAAAAAATGTCGATTCTTGTTCATTGTACAGAGAATCATTATCATCATCATCATCATCATTGATTGTTTGGTGCCTCAAATAAATTTTTCTGTTTGTCTCTGTCTGCTTGTGTCGTTGTCACTGTTGTTGTTAATGAATATTTGATTGATTAATAGAATCATACGTCACACACACACACAGACAAATATGTACGGAAAACACCATTTAAAAATATGAAATGAATTCTATGAAAAACAAAAGAATTCAAAGACATGATGGGTGAAAAAGACAAATGAGAAAAACACATGCAGACAACAAAAAAAAATGTTACATTGAAAAAAAACAACTCATCATCTGTATGTATGTGTATGTGTATATATGTGTGTGTGTATGTGTGTAAGGAATAAATCTTTCAACACTTTTTAATACTGGGTGCAAGATAAAAAAAAACAGATTGTCAGATTCCTTGCAGAAAAAAAATGACTGGTATTTTTTTATTTTTTATTTTTTTTCACTTCACCGGTTCACAACAAACGGAAAAAAATATGAAGAAAAAAAACTTGATCAATTATCGTTATGGAAAAAAAAGATGGTGATCATCATCATCATCATCATCATGGTGATCAAAATCAACATTCTAGGATCATTGGCTTTTCATTATCGTCATCATTATTTTTTTGCTGCTTATATGTCAATATATATTCAGGATGTTTTTACTATGAAAAAAAAAAATTTCATTCATTCATTTCTCTTAATAGAAATCAACAAAAATATAAATAAAATTAAAAATGATGAATGTAGGTTAATTAATCAATAATAATAATAATAATAATTTTCTAAACTCATCGTTGTTGTCATGGTATTCGTTTATGATGATGATGATTGTACCTCTTTAAAATTTCTGGTCTTGATAGTTAAAATTGAATTTATCTTGATGAAAGAAAAAAATTACATACAAATTACAATGTTTCGCTTATGGATGATGAATGAAAATGAAATAAAATTTCATTGAAACAATATTTTTCATCAGTCGATTAATATTGTTCATTGAACTATTGATTCATGTGCACATCTACAAGAATGTTGATAATGGATGATCATAACATAACCTGACAGCGACTAAAAATATAAATGTGTATGTGTGTGTGTGTGTGTTCAGATCATCATGAATATATGTCTAACGAAAGAGGATTTTTTTACTGGACAAAAAAAAAATTTTCAGCCACAATAATGATGAAAATTGTCTCGACACACACACACACACAGTCTCAATTTGTTCGGTAACATCATCAATAAATATATTGACTTGAATAGAATCCAATCAAAATGTTTGGTATACTGTAATAATTATTATGAACATAGTGACAAGTAAAAAAGATCTATCCATAATCAAATCAACTAACGTTAATCCAAGCTTTTATTTGTCAGAATTAAAAAAGAAGATCAAAAATTAATGAACGTATGTTTGAAACATTGTAAACATTTTACATTTTACGATCAATTTGATTATTGTCAATCAAATTATTTCTGTTTCGGGTAAATTCATCATCATCATCAAACATTGAATACGAAAAAAAAAAAAATAATCCCAAATAAATGTCAAAAGTAATCATGGAAAACATTGAGTGAGAGAACATTGATTCATATTGACAAATTTAATTTATGTGAAGAAAAAAATTATTTCAATAGAAAAAAAAATTTACAAAATGATAATGAAAATCCGTATTTTCAGCCATGATCGTAATCGATGATTGAATCAGATAATAATGGAAAACAATGACAGCAAAGAATATGGATGCATATATTGAATATTGTTATTGAACATTGAACATTGACTAACCTGACATTCAATGTTTGATGACAATCAAACATCATCTAATTTAGATAACGAACAAAAAAGATCAACAAAATGAATACAATTTACTGATGGTAATGATTTTTTTTTCAACAATCACTATATATATGATTAATTAACGACGTAGAAAAACACACGCACGCACACGGACCAAGTTCAGTGTTTGTTTTGAGATTTTTTAAAAAAAATAACATCAACAACAATAACAACAACAACAACAAAAGATCATAGTGGAGAAGAGAATTTCAAGGGGAAAATTTTGATTTTAATTTTGGATTCAAATGGGCACATAAAAACCATAAGAAGACGATGATGATGATGATGATGATAATTTTATGGGGACAATTAAAAAGTTTTTTTTTCTATTTTTCATTCAAATTTTATTATATAATATTGAAGCAAGAAGGAAAAACACTAGGAAGAAAATTCGTTGATTCGATAATGATAATGATGATCATGATGATGATGATGATGATGATAATGAATTAAATTAGATGGACGAATAAATTGTTTTGCAGCATAATTTAATGATACTGATGATGATGAAAATGAAATTGATGATGATTTACATTTAATTGTCTATATTCAGTATGATTAGAAAACATTTACGGAAATGGATGATGTAATCAAAAACAAAAATTACGAAATCAAGAACAAATTTTTGCGCATGCTTAAAAAACAAATAAAAAAAAATATTCAGAATTCTTCAATCATCATAATATCAGAATTTATTTGTGTATATATTTGTTTGGTCTGCTTGTATGAACTAGTTTTTACATGAAAAATCTAAATCATAATAATTCACGTGTCGGAAAAATGATAATATTTCGTCGGATATTTATGTTTTGCAACCATACAAATGTTGTCGCTGTTGTTGTTGTTGTTGTTGAAAACATTCAATCACACACACACACAATAGCAATATAACGATAGATAGTATGACTTGAAATGGATCTGATGTTGGTGAAATGGTGAATCAAAAAAAAAAAATCAAAAAGACTGAAAAAAGCTAAATTTATCAGACACACACATACACGAAACGAAACGAATAGACATTACATGGAAAACACACACACACACACACACACACACATTGAAAATATGGACAACAAAATTGTTTTTTTACACAATTTGTTCACCATATAACATTATAAATTACCTATATATATTGACAACTATCAATTAAATTATGATTAATTAACTTTCATTTCACTCATATATAAAAATAAAGAACAAAAAAAATTAATTTATGAATTATTGAAGTAAAAAAAACATGAAAAATAACAACAACAACAACAATAACAACAGCAACAACGAAAAATTTCAATTCATCAATTCAATACCGATATCTGTAATCAAAACGAATCATCGATTCATTGTATGTGTGTGTGTGTGTGTGTGTTGATGATGTTGCCATGTGCATGTGATTGAGCCGGTTGTCCGGCATTTAATTTTATCGACCATAAACACACACACACATACTTTGCTTTACATTCATTTTACCTTATTTTGAGAGAATAAGATGAATTTCATTTTATTTTGACTTTCATAAATTGATTTATTATTAATTAATTTTTTCTTTCTGACCACTAACATAAAAACAATGATGATGACGATGACCACTTATGATGATGTGCATAACAACAACAACAACAACAATGGATAAAAATAAAACGAATATTTCAATTTTAGATAAAGATAAGAAATGCATGATTGATGATATGAAAAATGTTTGTGGATAACTCTAATTCGAAGGTGTTGATGATGTTGATGGTGATGATTGATAACCAAAAAAAAAAAATTGATGAATAATTAAATCAAGAGAAAAGAAATGAAGAATTATAACAACAACAACAACAAAACAAAATTTTTGAGGACAACAACAATAATTTTGTTCCTCAAGGATAGGTGGGATCCATTTTCACACACACACACACACACACCAATACACAAACAGGCACAGATATTATCAAGGTAATTTCATGATATGTGTGCACTTTGCAGATATTTTTTTATGAAAAAAAAAAAAAAAACAATCCCAATCGACAAATTATGATAAAAAGGCCCAAATAATGAATGAAACAAGAAACAGATCACAGAAACGGTACCATATAATTGTTGAACAGAGAAAATAAAAATTTGCAATTCGATATCTGACGTGTGTAAGTGTGTGTGTGCGATCACCTTTTGAAAATTTTTTTGTTTTTCTTTTTGTTTTTGTTTTTTTTTGTTGTTGTTCAAATCAATTTTCATGATGGCCAAAAGCAATGATTATCGTTATATGATATGACGTGATACATCTTGATTTTCTTTTCTGAATTTTTTATTTTTTCTCATTTTTAATAATAAGATAATAATCTTGATAATAGGAAGGAAAAAAAACTACAAATTGATTTAAAACAAAAAAAAAAAAAATTTATAATTTTTAAATGGTAATTGTATGTATGCCATCTAGTGACAATATTAGTCGAATGAAAGCAAAAAACAGTTAGAAATGTCGCTAATAGATGGCAATAAATATGTATCTCATAGAAATTATATATATATCAAATCATATGTGATGTGATATTGAAAATCAAAACATTTTCATTTTCATTTTTTGTCTGTATATATATTCCACCATTTAGATTTAATGCAACAGATGGATATACTGAAGTAAAATCCTATTGGCACGTATTCGTGTTTGATTATTTTGAAAAAAAAAAAAAAATTTTATCAACAACAAACAAACAAACAAACAAACGAAATGAAAATTGCCAATAATAATAATAAAAATACGTCAAGAAAAAAAAAGTCAAGGTGGCCCCATTGATTGGTTTTCACTATAGTGATGATTATTATCAACACAATTGTGTGTGTGTGTGTTTTTTTTTTTGGTTTTAAATTATTTTTATTATTATATAATATGTTTATTTTGGCCATAATGTGATCGATTTTTTTTTGTGTGATCAAATTTAAATAATGAGAAAATTTCTTGCTGATCGATTGCAGCGACAAAAAAAAATTTTCCACATATGATTGATAACAATGTTTTTGGATCAAAAATTATAGTTACGTTTCATTTTGTATGTATGGAAATCATGATGATGATGATGATGATGAAAATGGAGTCAAAATGGATTCAATTCGATTTGATTGAATGAAAAAAAAAATGCAAAATGTGAATAGGAACGTTGAAGAGAAAGAGTAAAAAAAAATTAATCTAATTATAATGCAATAGAGAAAAAAAACACGTGATGATAGAATAGAAGTTTCAAACAGATTTCATTCTTTTATTTTGTTTTTTGTTTTTTTTTTTGGAACAACTCAATTTTCTGTTCTTGACAGCACGTTCGTTATTCGTGTTGTTTCAAGCAAAAAAAAAAAAAATAAATAAAAAAACGTTTTTTTCAGTCTGTTGAAATAGTTTTTTTTTCTGGAACAATCGCCATGATCTTTCGGTCAATATTTTCAAATGCGATTAATTGTACGTGGTGTTTATCATTTTTTGTTGTTGTTGTTGTTGTTGAAATAAATCGATATCGAAAAAAAAAAAACAATCAAAAGGAATCTATACGTGTTATCTGTTTATTCGTGATCTATCTATGCTCAAGAACTTATTGACATGATCACATGTTTATCATGAAACATGGAACATTTCAGAAAAAAATAGTATAAATTGAGTTAACCCTGTGTGTGTGCGAGTGTGTATGTATGTAAATTATGATCTGATTTGTTTGTAAAATGATTGTTGGACAAAAAAGTTTCATTTTCATTCCAATCAAAATATTAACATTGAACTAAATGTCCAAGCGTCAATCATTAATCAATAGATAATTGATCATCACATTTGATTAATTATGATGAAATTTCATTTTTTCAAAACAAAAAAAAAGCAATTGATCATTTGTTTGTGGTTGTTTTTCAGGAAATTTACAATTAGCCAATCAACAAATGTTTATGAAAAAAAATGCTAATCAAATTAGCTTGATTTTATCATCTGGATCATTTCGAAAATATTACAAAATGATGATTGTCTGATGATAAGATGATTTTGAACAACAAGATTCATTGATTCAACGATTTTTTTTTTTTTTGGTTTGCAAAATTTTTATTCACATCAATTCTATATTTAAAAAGATATAGTTAGATAGATAAATTAAATAATAGCTTAATTCGTTTGTGTATGCATGTGTATGGGTGTGTGTGTGTGTGTGTGGGTGTGTATGATTGTTTTATTTATATTTAGGTTAATTGAAGAAAAATTGACAAATCGTTTAATGATGTAATTATATGATAATATAATTAATTGATGATTAATTGTGCATTGTAAATTATTTGTAATGTAATGTAAATTCGTTTGGTTTATTCGGTGGAATTAAAAATTATTATACGGATTGATTGCCATTGATGATGATGAGTGATGACTTGTTGTACCGGAAACGGATGATGTAGCAGTTGGTGTGGTTTGATGTTGTTGTTGTTGGCCAGATAAAGATTGATGCAATGATTGTTGTGATTGATGCTGTGATTGTTGTGGTGTTACATGATGATGATGATGATTATGATGATGGTGATTAAGATTTGATGTTATTGCCGTTGATGATTTATATGAAGATCGATTTGTTCGTTGTGAATATTCAGAATAACGTTCCATTTCATTTAAATGATGATGTGATTGTGAATGTGGATTTGGATGTGGATGTGGATTTTGATTTGCATGATGATTATGATGATGATGATGATGATGATGATGAGAAGCCGAATGATTTATTGGTCCCAATGGACCATAGCCAGGTGGCATACCATTTGATGAAAGTGATCCATGCAATGATTTACTTATCATTTGATTCTGTAGGCTACCAATTAGTTTTTTATTGGGTAAATATTCTGGATTCATAAATGCAGAATTCACTTCGCCTGTAATTTCAATGGATAATTATTCATATTTTAATTTTTTGATTCATAACCATAAAATCTAACATTCATTCAAACCTTTGTATTTAGTACCATTTGGTAAATAATGATCTGGTAATAATTTAACATAACGTGAACCAAGTACAAAAGCCAATATGGACAATACAATAGAATCGACAACACCAATCAATGCCAAAATGAATGCCCAACGAATACCACATTGGCCTAATGCATAGCTATCAGAATCATTGCCACAAACTTCACGTACAATCGGTGTATCCCAACCAATAGGAAAAATTAATACACCCACCAACATTGAGATGGCTATATAGGAGAAAAACAGAATAAACAGAATTATTAAAGTTTTCTTTTCACAAAAATGATAAATGATCAACAATGAATGCATATTCATATTCATAAAAATGAACAAAAAAGAAAATTTGATGAACCTAGTATTTATTTTTTTTCTTCAAAAAAAAAAATTAAATTAACGTTTTTTTTTGTTGTAACTTTGTTGTTGTTCCCATTGTAATTGGACAAGGACAAATTATTCCAAAAAAATTTTATTCTTCATACATAACACAATAGATTCATTTGATTTTTTCTGTCCATTCATTCATTTGATTTATATTAAATCATATGAACAAGAAAAAAAATGTGCAAAAAAAAGTAGTGAAACAACAAATTGAAATTGAATATTAAAAATGATCAATAATATTAATGATATGTGTGAATAACAAAAATATATACAAAATGAACTCAAATGGTAGACAAAATTTTCTTATTTTCAATGAACAATAGTTTTATCAGTTTATTCACATTTTATTCAAAGCACAAACACGCGCACGCACACACACGTGCACATTTGAATGATTGTGGTTCCGAAAATAAATGAAAAAAAATGTATGAATTATGAATGCAACAAAAACGGTCAGCAAAAATCAATTAATTAATCTAATGACATTGAATTGATTTTCATTTTTGTTTTTATTCGATTTATTCATTACCTTTTTCATTTATTTCATTTGTTTGTTGTCATTTCATACTATTTCTTTGTTTTTCTCATTATACATTATATATATGTACGTGAATACAATAATGAATTATTAGAAATCAAGATTTTTATCAATCTTTATGCGTAAATTAGTGACGACACATTCAGTTAGAACATCGATTAAGAAATTCTTATACTACTGAAAAAAAAGATTGAAATTCTAAGATTATTATGATCTGTACACACACACACACACACACCCTTGTGACAATAGATTTTGGCACCATCGTCAGTTGGTAATTTTTTTCTTTCATTTATAAGATCACCCATGGTGATTTTATTTGATATTTATTGACAACGTGTCAAGATATAATCTTATAATCACAGCTGACGTTATTTTTTGTTCTCTTTTTTTCTATTTTCTACTCCAAATCATTGATGCTGTTGCAAAACCTTGAAAGTCGTTATTACATCATCATCATCATCATATACAATTTTACAATAAAGCAAATGATGATGATGATGATGATGATCAAAATAATAATTATATATCCAAAAGAGAGAGAAAAAAAAATATTTTAAGACCATAGATGTGAATGAATGTGTTTAATGAAATAGATCATCATAGTAATGATAATATTATAATGATGATGATGATCATGATCATCAACATCATAAAGCCATTATTACCATAACCATAATCATTAGCTAGATATATATATATGTTATATAAAATAACACAATAGAAAGATGAAAATATGTATAACAAGCAAACAATTTTTATAAAATATCTGATAATCGAGATTTTTTTATTCTCTTCTCAATCATCATCATGGTGGATCGCGTGCAAAATGTCATATCAAAGTGTCATGTTTGAAATGTTCAAATTGTTGAAATTCTTCAACAATTTTTTCATTGAAAGTAATAATAATTTACTAATTGATGTACAGATGATCATAGTGAAATGCAGAAATAATGTGGACATATAAAAAAAAATCATTCACGCATTCATAAAACGTGCGCTGAAACAAACAAACAAACAAACAAAAAACACACACACGTAATATTGGATTAATTTTATTTATAAACATTTTTTCTCATTGATACGATTCATTATTATTGTCTATCCTGATGAATGTGTGTGTACATGTGATATATAAATGACCCCATATAGCCATAATTATAATCATCACCATATAAATGCGTGCAATATTGTTGTTGATAATGATTGAAAGAGAAGAAAAAAAACTTCACGAATATAGCACATAAAGATGTGGATGTTAAATTGCTTCCACATATATGAAAAAAAACGTTATAATAACTTTATTATTATTTGATTATGATTGGATTTAAAATTTCGTTCATTTTCATTCACTCATTCATTCATTCATTGTTTGAAATTCGTTTATATAAGGAATCAACAACACGTTTTTCGTTTGAAATTCCATTTCACCATTATTTGATGTGAATGTATATTTTGTTTGTTTGATTTATGATGGTCATCATATATTTGTGTGTGTGTGTGGTGACTTTCGATATCGTCGATCAAGACCATCACCAATGTATACATTTCTGTTTACAAATAATTTCATGTTTTACATGATTGAATCTTTTGTTGTTGTTGTTGTTGAAAAAAAATATTTCAAAATTCATCTTGTTCATTCGTTTCACAGTCATAGTTTGTTTGATCAAATTTTTCGGATTTTGGTTTTTTTTCATGCAAAAAAAACAGACAAAATTCAATATCGCACCATCGACCTTTCAATGTGAGAGAAAAATTTGCTCATCATTATCATTGTTGTTGATGATGATGATGATGGTTTTATTTTGCGACCATTTTCAACAATTTATAATGAGTAAACTTTTCGTTATCGTCGTCGTCGTCGCCGCCGTTGTTGTTAACGATGACTTGAGATACGAAAAAAAAATTGGAAAGAATATCATTGAAAATAAATGAAAATTTCATCATCATTCAAATTTAAAAGGCGCCAAAGTCAAAATCATCATGATCATGATCAAAAACGATGAATGGAAGAAAATTTTCTCTCCTCCCAAAAAAATCGAAATGGAAATAAATGTGAAAAAAATTCATTTTTTTTTCTTCAATTTACGGTAAAATATGGAACAATGGATCAATGTATTTTTTTTTCTTTCTGGACAAATGGATCAAAAAAAATGAGCGAGCAAATAGTTAGTCAAAAATGATGATGATGATGTTTTTTTGATGGAACTTGAAAAAAAATTAAAACAAATATGATCCATCGAGGACACACACATACACTTGTAAGGAAAAATAGATAAATGGTCGAGGTCATTTGTTTTTTTTTTCTTTTTTTTGACTTTACTTTCTTTGTTTTTTTTTTGCCACTCAAATCAAATGTCATATTCATCGTCATCATTTTGTTGATTATAAAAATTTAATCTAGATAAAAACAAAAATCGATTATAATGATTATATAATGATTCAGTGGAAATATTCTGGAAAAAAAATGGATGGATCATTGTGTTGAGAACAAATGTGTGTGGAACTAGAAAAAGGAAGAATGAAATTTTTCTGTAATTTTTTTTCTTTTTTTGATTATCCTATCTGTCCGAAATGATGATTATGATGATGACAATTTAATTATCATCGCATTACTGCATAAACCTGTTGCTTCAATCATCATCATCATCATCATTAGCATATAGCCAAGCTATTTTAGTGTGTTGCATATATTATAGTGAAAAAAAAATTGAGTTTGCTACAAATTACTATCACAAGTTAAGATGAAAGATGATTTTTGTTTTCAAGAAAGATTCACGTATGAAAACAATGACAACCGCAACAAAACAAAACAGAAAACAGAAAAAAAACACTTGTTGAGCTTTTATCATTATGAAATATAACAATTCAAGTATGAATGTAGATGAATGAATAAAGAACTCTTAATGAATAGTTCACTTCATCTGAATCATTTTGTTGTTGTTGTTGTTTCATTTTTTTTCATCTTGTTACTCCATAACACGATGAATGAGAATTACTACTACTACTAATGGATTTGGAAACTTTTCTTCAACAATTTTTTTTTCTTTCGTTTCTGTCTTTCAATCATTCAGTACTTCATTTGATGATGATGATGATGATATCAGAAAAAAAATGATTTTGTTTTTTTTTCTGTTGTTATTATTCTCATACAGATTGATTGACATTCGTCATTGCAACTGGTGAAACATTTAACAGTAACAATCGAAAAAAAAAAATGAAAATGAAAATGAAAACCACTGAAAATGTACAATCAACATTGATGAAAGTGGTCAACAATGTTTCGTTATTGAATTGATAAACATTATCACATTTAATAATAAGTAGTAAAAAAAGAATGGCACTTGATACAAAATTCATTTGTTGTTGTTGTTGTTGTTTTAATTCATTGATCAACATTGTTGCTGAATGAAAAAAAATATTCATCATTATACAGAAGCAGGATCCATTTATGGATTTTTTTTCAGTACTTTTCATATCATTTGGAAATAAAATGCATTAAAGAAATTTTCCAGAAAAATTTCAATTCAAGTGTCATCTGTCATACCGGGTTTTCATCATCATCATCATCATCAAATTGATCCATCCAAGCAAAAAAATAAATAAAAAAACACTTCTATACAACATCCAGGAAGTATGATAAGCATTTTCTTTTGCAAATAATAATTCATGATAATAATGGATATAATAAAGGAATGAGATTTTCTTTTTTTTTGTTTTTGTTTTTGGTTAAGTTGTACACACGATTTTTCTTTTTGTTTTATCCTCTTTTTTTTTATTTATTCATCAATGAAAACAATAACAATAACCAAACCTTTGAATTGACCTCATGGTCATTCTGCATGAAAAAAAATTTTTTTTTTTTTTTTTTTGATCAAAATCATTCAACGATAATCAATGATAATTTGGAAAGTGTTTTTTTTGTGTTGAATAACGGGAAAAAAATTTTTTTGCTGTTGTTGTTGTTGTCATCATCAAGTTTACAACAGAACATTTTTGTTTCTATTATCAATCAAAACAAAAGAAAAATCGTGTGAACATATATGTGTAGGTGTCATGTATCAAAAACACTGAATTTAAATATGGGAATTTTACTTATACGACCAACACCGATTGTATGAAAATGAAATTTGAGATTAACGGATGATCCATAATTTTTTTGTTGTTGTTGTTGATGTCATACCTTTTTTGATTGAGAAGTAACGGTATAGTTTGAAGTTGGTTCATAAACACATCTCTTACTTATTTTCTATGCTTCCCAAAACCGTGGGGTTTTGTTAGTGAGTAATTAATAATGAAATGAAATGT